TCAAAGCTGCCCCATTCGAGACCAGGCTGCAAGACCTCTATGTGCAAACCCCCATCGAGCCCCACAGCCCCAAGGAGTTTGTGACTTCTCCATCATCATGCCAGGAGGCATGTGAGCTCTGTGCAAACACAGGTCTGTCCGCAGCCCAGGCTTGTAGGGATGGAGGGATCCCTCCAGGGAGCACATCCTCAGCGCCTGCCGGTGATGGAGCGAGGTCCCTCGTGCCCAGAGCCCCTGGCTCACCTGAAGAAGCCCTTGCAGCCCTCACAGGTCATGGCGTTGAAGTGGAAGCCGGTGGCTTTGTCCCCACAGACACCACAGATCCGGGGCACATTCCTGTCGAACTCGGCGGCAGGGTCGGGAAGTGACGTGCTGGCAGCCATGGGCTCCATGTCTGCAGAGGGCACAAAGCCACCCGTTACTCAGGATGGACAAACTGCCTCTCATGGCCCTACAGAACAGCAAAGGCCCTGCAAAGAAGGGAGTTTTCCTTGGCTTCCACATGGTTGGCAAGAGAAACTCCCGTGTTCCCTTTGCCTCTATGTTCCCTACATTCTATGGCTCTGTGTTCCCTTTGCACTAACACAGAGGACCTGCTCGGCCCTAGAGGACTAGCTAGGACCTGGGTGTTGGTGGTCCAAAAAGCAGGTTCTACCTAGCTTTTAGTATGCATTTGCTTCTCTACCCAGTAGAACCAGGACTAATCCCCGCTTCCCACACCCCAGCCTTGAACCCATCCCAGAACACGCTCCCAGCACTTTGCTGCGCTTTAGTGGGAAAACCTTTTTCCCCCTCATCATCCTTTCACTTTGTCTTCAGAAGAGCTTGAAGTGACCAGAATTCCCCAGCTCGCTGCTGCACAAACCACAGGGAAGGAGCTGAGGCCCGTCATGGGCTGGTGCAGAATTCCCCTTGAGCTCAGGCAGGAAGCAGCAGCTCCCGGAAGGGAGAACATCCCAAATGTGACCCAAGTGAACGTTGCTTTAACATCATCTTCAACAAGGTTGGAAACGAGAGGGAGGAAACAGCCCTTGTAACACAGATCCCTGCAACGGGCATTGAGATGGAGCTTTTCACAGGCTTTCCCTGGCTCACAACATCCACTGGTGGAGTCTGGCTGCTGTAAGACCGGGTGTCTAAAGGTTAAACACTTCCTAGTGCCAAACCTTGGGCCAGACCCTGCTGAGGCAGCAGGTCCACATCCAGTGGGACAGGCTGCTTGTAGCTCAGCTCACACAGCGAGTCCTCAGCAGCTCCTCTGCCTCAACCTCCCCATACCCAGCAGTGACCCCTCTGTGCACCTCAGTGGGAGAGACTCAAGCTGATTCAGCTTTCTCTGGGTTTAAGTGTGGCTGAATGTTCTCTGTTACCCTGTGTAGAATGCTCGTTACTGCTCAGGAGCTCCAGACAGTGAGTCTGGAGCAGAAGAGAGCCCAGAACAAAAGCAAGAGGCAACCCTGCTGTTTAAGGCCACCAGTCTGCTGCTGGCTGGTCCCAATAGAGCCTGGTCTCCTCCTGATGCCCTGCCAGGGGCCAGCAGCTCTGCAGAGCACACAAAGCCCAAAGGCCCTGCAGCCAGCGAGGGATGACCCTGGAGTACCTGGGATGTGTGATCCCAAAACAATTCCTGGAGCCTGGAGTTTTCTCTGAGCTTGGTTTCACTTGTACATCACCTGAAAGGTCTCACAGCCAATGGCCCCAGTACCTTTAGACAGGAGTTAATGAATGGGTTGGAGGGACCTTAAAG